ATTTTTTTTTTTTTTTACACATACACACGCTTCTCGCAATTGTCAACCAGTTTATTTGGTCGACAACGACGTAACCCCTTTCCAACCCCCTAAAATCCCCATTTTTATTGTAAAAATCGTCATTTAACCTTCAACAATGCAAACGACAATGTACATCGTAACAATGATAACAATTGCTTAACGACAATAAAAAGACTAAATTGCTTCTTCTATTTCACAAATATATTTATTTATATTTTTATTTTCGTGGCCAAATCATGCAAATATTATAACCGTCGACTTCATTCTTTCACTATTTCTTTCAACCCTTACATCTAAGTACTAAAATCTTATACGAAGTTTTTTATGTAGCCGCGTAGAGTGAAAATTCGTATATACATTTTTCGCGGCATTTGTAATTTAAGTATCGTCTACCCCGAAATATTATAAGAGGACATTTTTCATGAACACTCTACTATTAATTAAATAAAACGGAAACTCTATAAAGCTATTGAAAAAGACTTGAAAACAAAATGCGTGGTTCGTCAAGAACTGCTTCGCGTGTCAAACACTTTTAGAATATTTTAAACTTTCCTATAGTTTATAAAAGTTTTCGTAATGTTAATATAACTTATATATTGATTGTGTTGATTATTCTTGTATCACCTACTTCTTTTAGACTGTGTTTCGGCAATTGCGATTCTATTAATCGCGCATTTTACTTGTGTTCTGAATAGGCAATATTTCTCTCTCCATGTTAGCTAGGTATGGATTATATATAGTGCGATGGAAAAGTGTCTGCGCAGCGTGGTCACTCCTAAGTGGCTGGGCTGATTCGCCGACGTCATAATTTACTTTGTGTCTTTGGATGCGCCACGTTTTTATTTCTTTGGTGGAAGCTCTTATCGTTTCCACGCTCAGTTCGGACGAACTTTAAATCGCACTGTGTCAATTAAATCTTATAACCATAAGAATCTTATAACCATAAGATTTACGTTGATATTTGTTCATTTCTTTATATGTAGATAACGGTTTTGAGTAAATGATCTTTCTGACTTACAAAAATATCCGTAAAACAAATTTTGAGAAATTTTTCCTTTCCGTGCCATCAAACCACGTGCAGAAAATCGTGTCGAGCAACTTCTATCTTTTCATTTACAGAATACGGAAAAGGACTTTCTCGCCCGATAGCAATCAGGTAGAGATTTAAGTCGTCATTACGCGTGGTTTCGCCTACGTAATAAAGAGTTACAAAACAATACTCAATTTGAAATTAAAAAAAAGCAATCGGGATTTTGTAGAATCGTCTATAGAAGAGATTAAAAAATATTCTCATCCATTGACACACACAGGCATGCCAACTAAATGCTACAATAGCGTTGTCCTCCATCTTGTCTGTATCGGCTGTGACGTCATTACAATAATAGTCAATATCAAATTACATTAATTCTTTTCCGGATCTGACGAAGACCCGATGTATATTTCGGATGAGATTGCTGTAGAATTACTTTTCTGTATTCTTTTTCCGCATTACTTTTGCGTAGTGATTTTTCTAGCGCGAGAGCGGTCTTAAGAAGAAACGAATCGAAATTGTTTTAATCGTAAACACCAGAAATCAGCGAAAAGTCGTTAAAGATTTGACAGGCTGCATTTAGACTTTTCATCCTTCACCCACGGCAATTTGGACAATAATTTCCTGCGAAAAATAGAAATTTGAATACGCAGGAAAAGAAAAAAAATAATAGACTTGAACTATTTTATATTGATTTTCTTTTAGATACATTTCAAATATTTAAGTCTCAAAATTTACTATTATTACAAAAAATATTGCGTGTTAATTTTTTTCCCTTCGTCTTGGAATTTCGGCGGTTGGTCGACCGGAAGGAGTTGGAAATGTGTCCCCCCAAGATCCCCCAAGCAAAATAATATAATTGTTCTTAGAGCGGATAAAGCAGAATAACTTGATTGAAAAACAAGATCCTTCCTGGTATTCCATCAAGTTTACTTTAACTCACAATATTTGGATGACTAACAAGTAAGAAAAAGAAATGTTAATGTAACATGAAATAGCTATTTGAACAATCCCGTTGCCAGAAATAAATCATTACGGAGCTACATAGACAAGCTGAATAATTGTAAGTGGTATTTTTTTGTTTTCTAGCCAGCTTTACTTGGCCTATTGCGAAAGCGTATACAGTATTACCATTGTTAAAAAAGCTGTGGGAAATATCCACTTCATAGTACCGTAGCTATTAGCTACGGTTCTGTGTATAAGAAGAAAGATGCTACGAAAGTAACATTTTGTTACCAGGCCACGGGAAAGATGGCTGGGTCAAGGTGGCAGCCTACTGCTCGGGGGACCCGGGATCGAATCCGAACGGGTCGATAAATCCCTAGAAATTTTATGGAGGATTATCCGATCGTATATATCGGCCCCCATTCCTCGTTCCGTGGCGGGCATGGCCGAACCCTTAATGGGCTTACTAAAAGAGCCCTCTTACGAAAAGTTATTAAATCTCGTAATAAATCCAAATTAATATAAGAAATTTCAATAAAATTATTAATAACTATTTATAGATTAAAATAGAGTAAATTTTTATACATTTCTAAAAACAATTTCTCAGAGGAGATGGCAACACTTCTGGATTTAAAAATGGCGACCGACTGTATTTAAGATGTCTGTCACCTTTCTAACTTTTAACACTTTTCTAGAATTTGTGCTTTAAATACATTCCAAAAATGATCGACGTGAGTAAATTTTTTATAAGAATTAACTAAATTTTTACATGTAATTAACAGAAGATTAATCAGTTGTTGATTTTTATATTTAGCAAGTTGAACTGAATGAAGAATCTCCTGAATTATATGTAGAACCTGTTTCTGAAGATCCAATATTTGAAGAAGTCGATGGTATAATTCAGTTTATACATATTGTATGGATAAAAAATAATCTAATATAGTTAAATTTCAATTCCACATAAATACTGAACATAAATGCTATTAAATGCATTTAATTCTGTTTTTACACGTGAATACATACTTTATCTACACCTACACCTACAATTTATGTATATATATGACATGATAGAGGGGTACAGAGCTGAACTAATCAAAAATGTGGCCCCACCCATCTCCAAAAGTCATAAAAATTATACAAATAAAATCAATAAAAACAATAAAAAAAAAAACACTTAGAAGAAATTTTAATTTATATTATTTCCATATTGTACTTTTATATAAAGAGAATATCAGGTCCTGATACCGAATTAAATTACCTTGCATGTCCTATATATATATATATATATATAAATCTTTAACTGCCTTCTTTGATGAGAAAAGTTCAAAAAACTGAATGTATTAACTTAAAATTAATATAAAAAAAGCCTTAAATCCAGTAAAAGTAGAATGTTTATTAACGGAGCAAATGCTTTCGACTATGTACAATGGCCTTTGATGTCGGAAAGTACTGTATGTTGTTTTTTAAATTATACTATTTTAACGCTTAGTGATGCAAGTAATAAGATATTTTGTATTATAAGTACAAAAATACATTAAAACCCGCTATGTGTTAATGCTAAATATCTCATTTAAGTAAAAGAAGGTATTATTAATAATTTATTTATTAATGCATAGTTATTGAATATGAATGAATAACTTAGAATTTTAAAATCAACTTATTTTTAATAAATTATAAAAATAACATTTAAAACAGACTTTCTAAAATATTTTCTGACTAATGCATTAAAAGAATTATTTTAGTTAGTTATTTTTAAAAAAAATATTTTAAGAAGAAAAATGAAAAATAATATAATATGTATTAAAATTCAATATTTTTCTATATTATCATCATCATCATCATCATCATCATATTTTCTGTTATATCAGCATATTTCTAAGATTAATGGATCAAGTTTTTGTCACTTTTGACTTCCTCTCTCTCCCTCTTTGTTGTATACAATGATAAATTTTTGGAAAATTTATTTCCTATAATCATGTGTACAATAGTTCAAAGACCCATTTGAAATGACTTAAAAAAGTTCTTTAAATATTTTATAACTGAATAGTTTATTCATATGACTTTGTAAGTAGAATTATTCCACTAAAAAAGTCCATGTAGATAATGCTTTGATCCTCTCCTTCTCTGTTGTGTACAAACGTCTACTTGATCTTATTCATCTGTTTGTATAATTAATGAGAGCTTATACTGTTTTTGAGTATATTTTAAATCTAAAAGTCATTAGTGAAAGCTTAAAATTTTTATAATTAATATATTCCTTGTACAGAGGCATAGCTACCATGGAGCAATCTGCTCCAGGCACATGAATCATGAGGGTGACAAGTTAGAAAGGGCAAAATAAAAACTTGTAAAAACATTTGTAAAAAAGTTTTTGGATTTAATAATTACTCAATTAACTATTAGATTTGAATCCGTTCGACAATTATGTACACTTTTTAAGTGCGTCTCACCTGCATATCTTGTCGCATCATCTGATAAAAATATTCTGGAAGGATCAGAATTGTTACAATCGGCATATCCCTCCGACATTTTGCCTAGTTTTGGACCTCAACTACTTCAGTTTAAAATGTGTTTTTATACTCAGGTAAAAGAAATTACTTCTATATGCAAAGTTGCTGAACTACTATTAATTCACACCACAGCTTAAAGTAGCTTCTCTAACATTATTGCAGCATGCTTCATTTTTTTAATGGCAACAATAATGACAGAAGAACAAAGTTTTACAAAACTAAAATTAATCAAAACTTATTTAAGAAGCAGCATGTCACAACACCGTCTTAGCTATCAATTGAAAAAACAATACAATAGTTTGTCACCTTGATCTGGAGAAAGTGATCGATTTGCAAACGAAAAAGCGAGAAAACAACAATTTGAAGTCTTTTTTTTTTTTAATATATATATATATATATATATATATCTTCAGTTCGCTAATCGAGACGTTCTTCGGAAAACGTCTTTCCGTTCCAAATGAGTTAATGCTACTAGTTATTAATATACTTACCATTTCTGGACTATCGTCTATAATTTGATCG